CGGCGAAACGTCTGGGAATGTACCACGTCCACGGTCCAACTTTCAAAATGATTATGTATACAATGCACTCTGGACAAGATGTATTCTTCAAAGTCTTCCTACCGACATGACCAAGTTTCGAAAACAAGGTCAAACAACTTCTATGCCTGGATTCGATTAATTGTCGATTTAGCAAGCATGCATTTACTATGGCAATCAGAGGTACTACTTATTTTGAGTATAAGTAGGCTGTGAAATTATCAGTAATTGTTTAATAAGAAATTAATTGTACCGAGCTTAATTCGCGTCGTCGACTGCATCGGCATATAAATGCTTGCCTGTCGTATGGCTGTGCAACGAAGTGGTAATGCCGTCGAGATGTTCACGACACGGGCTCGAAACCCGTTGGGATTACTGATGAAGTCTCAACTATCTCTTTCTACCAAGACCCACCAGACTTCTAATCTATTTGAATGGTACAGAGTGTCTCTACTCATATGGCACTTATTTCAAACGGGATGTGTTCACCCGATTTCGTTTGAGTTGATGAAGGACTAGTTGTTGAATTGTCCCATTATGACATTAGTAGATCTCATGTTTCCAATGAATTTAACATCGCATCGTTTCCCACTTTGGGCAACAAACTCGGGCAGACTGGAGGTAGGAGTGAGGCTTCCGTTTGTCCAAAACGCTCTCTCTCTCTCTCTCTCTCTCTCTTTGAACATGATTGCGAGTAAGTCGGGGCGATTGAATGAGCTTACATGAAACTCGATTAAGGTCAACTAACATTCGAGTCCTATGCAAGAAGTACCGATGGACGCGCGCAAGCAACTATTATCAAAAATTCCATTCAGCCACAGTCAACTCTCACTGAGCCCTTGTGCTTGTCCAATTGTGCGCGTCGCGAGGGTTGAGGCATGCGAAAAGTTTCCTCTTGCCCATCACCAGAATTAGGCCTCGGCATAAATTTGTAATTGGACCGAACGCATTGCGGGCTGACAGAGACCTCGTCGGCCAATTAAGTTGCCCAGTGCATGAAATTTGAGCCCCCTCAAAATGCCCATCCTACCAACCTACCAACCGAGAGTGGGCCGACGGCCTCACTCGTTCGTAGCCCATACGGGGCTGATTGACGGGACGGGAGGTCGCAAAGCCTAGCCGGCCATAGGGATTCCGGCCGAAGGGGTATATCAAATTTTCCCAAGAGCCAAATGATTGGCGGGTGAAAGGGAAGGCACGAGCCGGCCTGCGACGAATTTGCGTGTCCCTTTTCACATCGCCAGTCCCACTGGCGGACAAACTGACTGACGCTACGGTCACCGTTTGGCCGCAAGCGAATTCCATTTCTCACATCCTGTCCCCAATCGGCGCCCCAGACCTCGGCGGTGAAGTTGTGCATATGCGAAAGGAGAAGTTGGGTTTAGAGGAATGTATTGTTTCATAACTCTTGAGCTTACTTCCATTTCGAGTGGAAGTGTTCGGTGGAGAGATGCAAGAGTCGATCTCGACAGAAAATGACGGTGCACTTAACTTGGCCAGCGAGTGATTGGCTTTACTGGAACATTCTTGTTGATGCTGGTTGCGAGGCAAACTCTCTCGATTTCGGTAAAAACATACTAAGCTTTTGAAGATATGAAGACCGAGATGTTGTGGCCTCTGGTATGGTCGCAGTCTACTTTCCATTTATAGAAGTGGGTTGACCTCGTTGTCGCAACTTGGTCTTGTTGTCAGGGCGACTAGGTCATTATATATTCCATAAAGAAATATTCTTTTATGGAGAATATGAAGACCAAGATGTTGTGGCCTCTGGTACGGTAGCAGTGTTCTTTTCAATGTATAGAAGTGGGTTGACCTCGTTTTCGCAACATGTTCTTGTTGCTAGGGGGAATTAGTAGAACCTTTTCAATGTCACAACATCTTTGTCATTATATCTTCGATAAGTAAATATTCTTTAATGGAAGATATGAAGACCAAGATGTTGTGGCCTCTGGTATTGTCGCAGTCTCCTTTCGATTTATAGAAGTGGGTTGACCTCGTTGTCGCAACTTGGTCTTTTTGTCAGGGCAACTTGGTAGAACTTTTCCAGATGCCACAACATCTTGGTCATCATATATTCCATAAGTTAGTATTCTTTTATTGAAGGTATAAGGACCAAGATGTTGTGGCCTGTGGTATGATCGCAGTGTTCTTTTCGATTTATAAAAGTGGGTTGACCTCGTTGTCGCAACTTGGTCTTGTTGTCAGGGCGACTTGGTAGAACCTTTCCAGATGCCACAAAATCTTGGTCATCATATCTTCGATAAGTAAATATTCTTTAATGAAAGATATGAAGACCAAGTTGTTGTGGCCTCTGGTATGGTAGCAGTCTCCTTTCGATTTATAAAAGTTGGTTGACCTCGTTGTCGCAACGTGGTCTTCTTGTCAGGGCACCTAGTCCGAAGTCGTCTGTCAGAGTGGTTGTCATGATTGCCAGAATCAGACTGTGGATTTGGTACATCCTCAGACGTTTCGCCGGCATCGTAGTCGGCAGCATCATTCACTTTTGCCATTCGCCGAACTCGTCAAAGAGACAATTGACGACGAGTTCATAGCTTGCTGACGAGAATGGCAAAACTGACGGATGATGCCGACTATGCTGCCGGTTTTGAGAATGTACCAAGTCCACAGTCTGATGCTAGAAATCATGACAACTTCTATGGCAGACGACTTCGAGCAATGTCGTGTATTCTATTAAGTCGCCCTGACGACAAGACCAAGTTGCGACAACGAGGTCAACCCACTTCTGTACTAAGCTTTTGTCTAGCATCACAGCGGAGTATCCTCCTTACAACCGTATTTAAGGTAAAGGATCAAGCAATGTCAGCCTCGTCGAAATAGCTCCACTTGGATGGACGAGCTGGTCGCATTTGGATCCACTGTCCCGTGCCTACGAGTAAAGTGACACAAAGGTATGACAACAGATATACCGTTTGTTGGTGTGTCTTATTCTATGTTGATAGCACACAGTAATAGAGTTCATGAGATTTGTTTACCCTATTTCGTTTAAGGTGATGAAAGATAGTATTGCGCGAAATCTCGGTGTGTCAATCATTGTCCTTGGGTTATGGGGCAGACCTGGCACTAAATTACCTATTTTTTGTTTGTAAGTTGGGTTTAAAGACATAAACGGAATAGGGTAACCTATCTCAAACCTATAATTGTACTGTTAGTGTCGAAGACCTACTTACAAACGAAAAATAAGTAATGCAGTCGAGTTTTATAACAAATAAAACCTCGATTCATCGATAATCCCACCACAGAGTGTGATATGGGAAAATGCCTGACCTTCGGTGAAATTGCCATCTGACCTGTGATTTAAGGGCACTAGTGGCAATGCGGTGTGTTGGTTCACGTGTCGAGATTATACACTGAAGTGTCATGGTTCGAGACCCGCTGGGGGGGCAAATTCGAAAGTACAGTCCACTCCTGCTTGGATGGGGATACATTTTTTGGAAACTGGGCTATACAAAAGGTAAGGACCACTTTAAACGAAATAGGACGAATATATGATTTAATGGTAGCCTCAAAATCCCACTTACAAAACAGAAATCCAACCATCCACAACTAGCATGCTTGACCAAGAGTTACACATGCACGGGCGAGAGTGTGTGGATACGGATTTGTGGCCATCTGCTGTGATTTCATAGGACGGACCTAGGCATCAAACAACCAACCGACATGACGGACCTTCGGCGTCTGTCCCCTTTGACGCTGTAACTTTTGCCCGCCTGTCCGGCCCAAATAATGAGCCCGAGGCACGGTGAGGGTCCGGGCACTCCTTTCGGTTTGATGGGATTTTATGACTTGCAATTAGTTCTATTGGCCGACTGGCCGACTGTCCAACTGTCCAATAGTCTCCCTCCTGCCTCTCTGTCCCTCTTCCCCTTTATCACCCCCCAACCCCTCCCACCTCTGCTCATCTTTCAGGTCCTCCGAACGGGTCATATATCAGACCGTGAATGGACACAATCAAGGCTGGACCCCGACTGCACCTGTCCACTATCACATTCAACATGGCCTCTGTGACCCTGTGGCTTTTGTCTTCTTGAGCAAGCTCCATTTCTTGGTCACAGCTCGCCAAATGAGCCATAAACCGAGTGTTTTGACCCTCTTTCCCTCGTCCTCATGAGCGCCAACATTTTTGCCGACTATTGGGTTGTGGTCGGTTCTCGTCATGGGTCAACCAGACCGGCCGACACCCCGACGCTTGCAGGACCATGACGAGGATAGTTTTGCATCAATGCACTATGCTTTCACATGTCAACCCCTTCACGATCGGCATGGTTCGCCAACTGTCTGATGGCGGTGAAAAGTCATAAGACGATATGAGTACACACGACCCCTCATTGCCACTACCCGGCCCGGGATGGGTTTTTAACGACACTCGTACCCTCAACCGTGAAGCATTCTAACCTAAGCCCCTTCGAATGATCTTTTCACAATTCAGAATGCGCAAGAATTAGCCATTTTGCAGCACATGCTCCATTCATCAAACGATGCTAAAACATGAATTCAGTATGAGTATGATCAGTAATGCTCGACTAATAACGCAATCGGGCCCAGTTCACCCGAGATGGACCAAGCAATATGCCAGTTTTCCCACAACCAAATGAACAGCCCTCATAATCACAATGACATTCACTCAACCCTGCCATTTTTCACCCCGCTCCGTTCGCACCAGCAACCCTAAAGGAATACAAGGTCAAATGAGAAAACCCTTTAAGC